GTCACTTATAGCTCATAGTTGGACTTCTCTCTACCTCTCATCTTCTTCCCTTCTCCACAGCTTCCATAATCTTTAGGTCCCAAGTCTGAGGCTGAGTGTATAACTCAGTACAGTAGTGTGAGGTCCTGGGTTCGAGTCTAGACACCACATAAAGTCAGCTGTGGTAGTACACTCCTATAACCTCAACCCTCAGGAGGTGAAGGCAGGACTGGGAGTTCAAGGTTCAGCTACACAGTGAGTTTGAGGCCAGTGTAGATTACTTGAACTCCTATCTCAAAACGGCCAACTCACCAATCTTCACACCACTCCCTGCCTCCACCTCTTCAAGTGCTTTCTCATTGTTCTTTCTTGTCCTGGATGTGTAACGTGTTCTGCTAGGTCTCTGCCTGGCATGCTTCCGGTCTGCTCTTCATGTTTCAGGCAGACTCATTTTAATTCATCCAGGTCCTCCGCGTAGGAACCCTCGGCAAACATTGATCGTTTTCCTAGAGTGCTACCACGCCCTCCCTGTACTTTATACAAGCAAATGGCTGTGTTCTTGCCTCCAGAAACCTGTGCTGTTGAGAGCCCTCAAGGTAAAAGAAAGAAATCACTTATCCCAAGTCAGCTTCCCTCCAATGTAGCAATGCCAAGGTGTTCCAGTTTCACAGCCCCTATCCCACCCTTTCTCCTGAAGCCAGAACAGGCAGATGCTATTGCCCGTGAAAAAAAAAAAAGAAATTTATTCCACTAACTATTGTCCAGTTAGATTTGATTTTATTGACATAGTATATTTATCTCTCATCAGATAATTTGTTTTACAAAAAATTAGAATTGTTATATATATTGTACATCTTACTTTGATGATAATTCTTTTTTATTTTTATTTTTATTATTAAAAATTTCCACCTCTTCCCTTCCTCCCACTTCCTTCCCTTCCCTCCATTCCCCCTCCCCCTCCTTCTCCAGGCCAAAGAGCAGTCAGGGTTCCCTACCCTATCCTTTGGGAAGTCCAAGGTCCTCCCCGCTCCCCCCAGGTCCAGGAAGGTAAGCATCCAAACAGACAAGGCTCCCACAAAGCCCATCCATGCAGTAGAATCAAAGCCCAGCGCCATTGTCCTTGGCTTCTCAGCCAGCCTCCACCGTCAGCCACATTCAGAGTCCAGTTTGATCACATGCTCCATCAGTCCCAGTCCAGCTGACCTTGGTGAGCTCCCATTAGATCTGCCCCACTGTCTCAGTGAGTGAACGTATCCCTCGCGGTTCTGACTTCCTTGCTCATGTTCTCCCTCCTTCTGCTCCTCATTAGGACTTTGAGAGCTCAGTCCCGTGCTCCAGTGTGGGTCTCTATCTGTCTCTATCTCCATCCATCACCAGATGAAGGTTCCATCTGGATGAAACTCCTCAGCACTCTTGCCTGTGCTCTTTTGTGCTGGATGACCCTATGCCAAAGGCAATCCTAATGGTCAGTTTATTTGGACTAATGTTTTGAAGCCCCGAGATGCCGAAGCCCATCCAGCAGGCCCCTGGGTCTCCACCTCTGGCTGTTTGCTGCCCCCAAGTGTCCATCGATAGACTGGAGAGTTCTTGATTAGCACCACAGGGCTTGGAGACTATCAGGTGTGAGCCAAGGACAGTTAGACCCTGGGATTCTGGAAGCTACATCTTGTTCTGTTGGCAGGCTCGCTGCTACCTGGCACCACCTTGTTTTCTGTCTCAGTCCCTTGTCTGTGCTGTAGTGTGTGTATAAAGATCACAGACTTGGAGGGAAGCGTAGAGTGGGGCTGGTCCAGCAGAGAGTGGAGAGCCCTGGTTAGAGGCCTTTCTCCAAAAGGCAGCCCTCATCTGGTGGTCCCTGCTGGGCCCTCCTGTCCATAAACCTCCTGCTGCCTGCCTGCCATCCCTGCAGGTGCCCCCTTGCAGCACCTGGATACAGACTGAAGGTGACAATAGTGTGTCTAGTTCTGTGATATACCCTCCTGCAAGACTGAAGAGAAACAAAGGGGAAGTGGGGGGAGAGGGAGAGAAACTAATGATGACAAGTTAGTGTCCTTCATTGGCCTAAGGACAAGAACTCTGTAACTCTGAATGACTGGACAAACCAACAAAGGAAACAAAAAGGTTAATTGCACTCAGGGAACAGCAGAGCCAATCTACCTACAAACCTAGCACCGAACCCCCCCAACCCCCGCGACACAGTTTCTCTGTAGCTTTGGAGCCTGTCCTGAAACTTGTTTTGTAGACCATGCTGGCTTTGAACTCAGAGATCCACCTGCCTCTGCCTCCCAAGTGCTGGAATTAAAGGTGTGTGCTACCACTGCCTGGCTTTTTGTTTGTTTGTGGGTACTAGGAATTGAACCCAGGTTTTCTGCAAGGGCAACAAATGCTCTTAACCACTGAGTCATCTCCCTGGTCGTCATACCTGAATCTCAAAGCCACCCTTTACAGTAGTACAAGGAAATCCGTCCTAGGCTTCATCTTGTTGACACATTTCTAATCAAACCCTTGTTATACACAGGAATGAGACTGGGTCACCACGCTTCCATTCACAGCGTGCTTCCTTTGAAGGCCATGGAGCACCTCTCTCTCATTTCTTCCTTCCTATCCCATCTATCCCATTTTCTTTATGGGTGGGTAATTAACTTTATTTTCAGGTTTTGTTTTGAGAGAGTTTCACTGTGTACCCTTGGTTGGTCTGGAACTCACCGTGTAAACCAGGTTGGCCTTAAACTCAGAGAACTGCCTGCCTCTACCTCTTGGGTTCTGGTATTAAAGGAATGTCCCACAACACCTGGCTTTTCTTTTCTTTCCCAGAGACAGGGCTTCTCTGTAGCATTGGAGCCTGACCTGGAACTCACTCTGTAGACAGACTAACCTGAAACTCAGAGATCCACCTGCCTCTGCCTCCTGAGTGCTGGGATTAAAGGCCTGTGCCATCACTGCCCGGCGGTAACACCTGCTTTTAAGTGGGTCATTTTCCTAAAGCTCCCATCTTTAGAGCTATATGCTGAAATATGACTGAAGAAATAGTATTTTCTGCAAAAGTGGAGGTGGGAAGACTTGGGTCACACTGGCTAGGTGATGACTGATGGGTATTCTCTAGAATGCATGGCTCTACTTTTGTCTGTTTGAAATTTTCCATTAACAAAAAGTTCCTGAAAGTATCGTTGACTGGTTATGGGATTAAAGGCCGCACCACCATGCCCAGCTGCACATGTGCCATGTACTTACGTTTAACTCATCAGACAGCTTTGGAGAGTTGGTTCTTGTAGGCAGAGACTGCTCATCCATTTCCTGGTTGCCCACACCCGAAAATAACATAGAAACCACATTAAGTAGAACACTGTTTAGTCAATAGTTCAGGCATATTTTTAGCTAGCTCTTACATCTTATATCAACCCATTTCTATTAATCTGTGTATTGCCACTAGGCTGTGGCTTACTGGTGCCAGCATGTTACTCCTTTGGCAGCTATATGGCATCTCTTTGACTCCCCCTACTCTCTCCCTATATCTCTTCCAGCCTGGCTATATTCTGCCCTGCTATAGGCCGAAGTAGCTTCTTTATAAACCAATGGTAATAAAACATATTCATAGCAATATAGAAGGGAATCCTACATCATCTCCCCTTTTATGTCTAAATAAAAAGGAAGGTTTTAACTTTAACATAGTAAAATTACATATAGCAAAACAGATATCAAGCAAGAATTTGTTACAGTATTTATATCTACTTTATTTTTTATCATAACTAAGGAAAACTATAATTATAACTATTTATGCTCCAACTCCATCAAAGACCCCAGAGTGATATTAACTAAGTTAACAGGAAGTGCATTGTAAGCAACTTTCAAAACTCTAGAATTGTCTGACAGAGACATCTCACTGCCTGTACAGTCTTCCTGTCATGTAGGTTCCAGGGACTGAACTCAAGCTACTAGGCTTGGTAGCAAATACCTTTAACCACTAAGTCAGTGTTTCTCAACCTACGGGGTCAAATGACCATTTCATAGGGGTCACCTAAAATCACCAGAAAACACAGGTATTTATATTATGATTTGAAACACTAGCAAAATTACACTTAGAAGGCAGCAATAAAAATAATTTTGTGGTTGGGGGTCACCACAACATGAGGAACTGTATTAAAGTATCGCAGTGTTAGGAAAGTTGAGGATCACTGCATTCTGCCATTCTGCCATCTCGGGTTTAAATATAAATACATTTTTATGTAAAATACATAAAAATAAGTTTATCTAAATACCTATTTATTTATTTGAGAAAGTACAGCCTGGCTAGCCTGAGACTCACTCTGTAGAAAAAGCTGGCCTTGAACTTACAAAGATTCACTTGCCTCTGTCTCTTAAGTGTTAGGATTAAAGGCATGCACCACCATGGCTGGCAAAATATATATTCTCATACATCATCAGAAGGGAATGTTCACATGTTCAAATGGTACTCACGTCAGATCCAGCATTTGGTAGAAGACCAGGATTTAAAGCTTACTCTCACCTACATGATTTTAAGATCAGCCAGGACTAAGTAAGGGCTCAAAAATACAAACAAAATCCTTAGAACCACTCTGCTTAGGAAAGGTATTTTTGTAAAACAACAAAGAAAAAAAACCCAAAAACCAAAACAAAAAGACCTCATCTAGCTCCACATCCCTTCCTTCGTATGGTGGTAGGGAAATCAAATCAGGGAACTTGCACAGGCTAGGCAAGAGCTACCCCACTCTGTTGTGCCCACAACCTGCAATTTATACCGCTTTACTGGTCACTTCCCGGGGCACTTCTTCTGCAGAGGCACAAGTGCTCTCCTCCCCCAGACTCTGACATCTTTAGAAATCATAAGATGCAGAGCTGGAGAGATGGCTCAGGGGTTAAGAGCACCAACCGCCCTTCTAGATGGACCAAGGTTCGATTCCCAGCACCAACACCGCAGCTCACAACTGTTTCTAACTCCTGTTCCAGGGGATCGGACACCCTCACACAGACACACATGCAGGCAAAACACAATGCGTACAAAATTAGAAAAATCCAAAATCCATGTTTTTATAGGGAAACCCCTTTAATCATGATAGAGAATGTCATAGACCACTTGACTCCAGTGGACAAGTGGCTTCTGAATACATTTATTGAGGGAACAAAGCAGGGAATGATGGGAGATGGCTGTCAACAAGAACAGCTGCTTCCAGGAAATGTGACCTGTGACCACAGGATGATCAGAAGCAGATGAAACTGGCTGGGCATGGCCCCTTGCTGTCCCTTTCAAGTTGTGACCAATCAAAGGCAGTTTATCATTAAACTTTCCTCTGCTAACTGGAAAATGCCTCAAGTACCTTTCTTAATTTTTATGAGAATTCAGATACATAAATTAGCCAGCACTGACTTAGCTTTGCGGTACAAGCTAAGCCGCTATTATTTAAATCCTATTATGACTACAAACTCCATTGGGGCAGTACCAGTGCTTGGCACCATCCCTGATCAAGTAACAAGAAGAATGAATGACAGCTGGTGGTACTCCAGTAGGAAGGGAGGTGCCTGCTAAATTAGGAGAATAACAACCAGGGATGTGATCGGAGGCAGCACAGGTCAACTGTAAGCGTGGCCAGAAGCAACAATTCCTCACAGCTAGCAGAGCATGTCTTAAAAGGAATCCAGGAATCTGCTCTTGAGGTTGGGGAGGGGCTGGTACATTAAACCATGACCCCAAACCAGGGCCAAGCACAGAGCCACTCACCGGAGAGGCTGAAGCTAGGGGATCTTGAGTTTAGGGCCAGCATGTGCTACAGCCTGAGAGTCTGTCTCAGACAGGTGGTGGTGGGGCATGCCTTTAATCCCAGCACTCAGGAGGCAGAGGCAGGTGGATCTCTTGAGTTCAAGGCCAGCCTGGTCTACAAGAGCTAATTCCAGGACAGGCATCAAAACTACACAGAGAAATCCTGTCTTGAAAAAGAAGGGGAAAAAAAAGTTTGTCTCAAAATGCCAAAGAAAGAAAAGGGGACAGAAAGCCTTGTTCAGAGCTCCAAACAAGAGAACAAAGGACAAGGTGATGATCACAGGAAGAAGTGTCTGCAGAACTCTGCCTACCCCCGTACTCTGTCAGCTGTCCCTAGAGCCGCTGTTTGCTGGAGACTCACGTGAGAGCAGCTCTTTCAAGGGCAAGGCCAAAATGAACGAGGCAGCCGGGCGGGTGGCACAAGCCTTTAATCCCAGCACTCGGGAGGCAGAGCAAGGCGAATCTCTGTGAGTTCGAGGCCAGCCTGGTCTACAAGAGCTAGTTCCAGGCCGGACTCCCAAGCAACACAGAGAAACCCTGTCTTGAAAAACAAAAACAAAAACAAACAAAAATAAATAAAGTGAGCAATGCAGCTGAGGTACTCCTAGCACTTTGGCTCTTGTCCGTACAAGATGCTTCTGGGAATCATGTGGGTACTCCTGAAGGCAATGGGAAAAAGGGGGCAGCGGACTCAAAGGATGAGCTGTGGGCCAGTGTGGTCACGCAGCCTCCTTAGCACCTGTCCTCCTGTGTCCAGTTCCAAGCATTCACAAAGAGTTGCTGCCAAGGAGAGGTTGCAAGAGCATCAAAGGGAGAGGGTCGCCAAGCCCACTGCCAAGGCCTCACAGCCCGCTCAGGGTGTGGCATGAGCGCCAGATGGCGACCATCTTGGGAGCAGATGCCAGCTATGCCCCCTGGAGATCCATTGGGGTTCAAGGGGTACTGTTCTGTGGGGTTCCCATCATCATCTGCCCAGTGCAGCGGTACCAAGCCCCTGGCCTCAATCTTGGCTCGCAGTTCAGGAGAAGAAAATGCCATGTAACCTGGAAGCAAAAAAGAAAGGGAAGTGAATGCTAAGCATCTTCAGGCCCAGCCCCAGCCCTCATAGGCTCCCCTGCCTTCCCCAGCCGGACCTTCCCCGTGAGCGCTCCACACAGGAAGCACAGAGCCTTCCATCCCGCGAAGCATCAGGGCTGGCCCAGGCTCCACACGCACGGTGGCCCATCGGGACTCAAACCGCCCAGAGAGATTGTGGCGGAGCAGGAGGCCTGGCTTTGTCGGTTGCGAATCATGGCCTGACTCATCTTGCTCTTCATTGGGGTCACCTCCTACCCAGCCCAAAAGGGCCAGCAACTGACAGCCATTACACACTCCCAGGCTGAAGGTGTCGGGCCGCCTGCGGAAGCGTCCCAGCTCTGCCCTGGCTCGTGGATTAAAGGTCACTGCAGCTGCCCACCCTAGGAAAAACAAGTCAAAGCGAGATGTAAAGAGCTTGAGAAAAGCAGAAGCAGGGAATGACGGGCAACGAGACTGCTAACAGTCAGGTCCTCTCTACAGACAATCAATCAGAAAGTCTCACAAGGGATCTGTGATTTTCTTTATGTAGTTGTCTAAGACTCAATAGTAAGAGCCAGGCAGTGGTGGCACATGCCTTTAAACTCAGGAGGCAGAAGCAGGTGGATCTCTGTGACTTTGAGGTCAGCCAGGTCTACAAAGTGAGTTCCAGGACAGGCTCCAAAGCTACAGAGAAATCCTGTCTCAAGAAAAAAGATTTCGGGGCGGGGGGGGGGGGGGCCCGGGAGAGATGGCTCAGCGGTTAAGAGCATCGCTTGCTCTTCCAAAGGTCTTGAGTTCAATTCCCAGCAACCACATGGTAGCTCACAACCATCCGTAATGAGGTCTGGTGCCGTCTTCTGGCCTTCAGGCATATACACAGACAGAATATTGCATACATAATAAATAAATAAATATAAAAAAAAAGAAAAAAGATTTCAGTTGAACATGGGTGGCTCACAGCTGTAGCCCCCAGTACTTGAAAAGCTAACATAGAGACTAGGACTACTCTGTGAGTTTTGAGTGGCCTAGGCTTTCATGAAACTATATAAAAAAAAAAAAAAAGATTTCACACACAAAAAACTTTTGGCCTTTTGGCCTCTCTTGCGGTTGTGGTGAGCCATCTACCCAGGACAGGACAATCTGATCAAATTGAAGAGCAGCTGACTGTTCAAATGAGACATATGTCATCCAGCCTTGTACAGCCCTGGGAAGCCAGCGGCCTCATGTCAGGGATCCGTAGTCCTTCTGCTGACCTCTGGTCCTTCCTGAACCAGAGCACTCTGCCTGGCTTTGTGGTAGTGACAAGCCCAGCCCTGCCTGGCCATGCACAAGGAGCCAAAGCCACCTTTTCAAGGAGTATGAAAATGAAGCATGCAGCCGTCTCCACACTGACCTTTGGCAGAGCCCAGCACATCTGCATAGCTGAAGCCACCCACAAAGGCCACACCGCGGAAGGTGTCCAGCCCGATGGCCCCAGAGCAGAGATCCTGCATGGTGACATCCCACACCTAAAAGGACAGGGAGGAGAACCGTCAGAGGACATACAACCAAGCCTAGATCAAGATCTCCAGCTCGGCTAGCCACCGTGCTTACCTCAAACCCAGCCAAGTGAAAGGCGTCAGCCATTTCTCGGTCTCCATTACTGCCCTCCTCTCGCAAAATGGCGACTCGGGGGACGGGACCACCTGGAAGATGTGTGTGTCTCTGAGCAGATGGTTACCCACCCGTTCCAAACCCCAGATACCTTCCCCAGAGCAGGTCCAGGTACCCAAGCCTCCACGCCCACTCCCTTACCAGGTTTACAGGGCACAGAGGCAGTAGGAAAGGTGGGTGGCAGGTAGTAGCGGGGTCCTGTCCGCTCCTTTAGGCCCCGTTTCTCTTCTTCCACACAGCGTGGCTCCGCTTGCAGCAGCTCCAGCTGGAAACTGGTTTCTTCCCAGAGGGCTCTCAACTGCCCAACGGGCTCCTCTACAACTACAGTGCCATTCACGGACACTTGGACCTGGAGAGGGGACACTGATTAAAGACCAGGAGAAAGTATGGCCCCATGATAGTTTCAGAGCGGCACCTTCTTTTTCTTTTGGTTTTTCAAGAGAGGGTTTCTCTGTGTAACAGCTTTGACTGTCCTGGAACTCACATTGTAGACCAGGCTGGCCTGGAACTCACAGAGATCCACCTGCCTCTGCCCCCCAAGTGCTGGGATTAAAGGCATACGCCACCACCGCCCGGCTGGAGTGGTATTTTCTTACAGGCTCACATTAACACTACCCTCTCCTTGGCTTCCTCACCATGGCGTGGGGTCCAGCCTCGCCTGTGTGGCCCAGTTCCAGACACTGTAGGCCAGCACCCTGGTACCGCAGCAATACTCTGGCTACATCTGCTTCCTGTACCTCCAACACCAGGCCTGGCTCCTCCGCAAACAGTACAGGCAGCGCTGGAAGGGAAACAGGGGTGAGCCAGGATGACCAGGATGCTGCCAGGACCCAGGCGGGGTGGAATCTGGATGAGGGGTACATGGAAGTTGCACCAGGAGCTACAAGAGGTCTTAGAAGGACCCAGTTCAGAACAAAGCATGGAAGAGACAGCTAAGACTCAGGAGAAAGGGTCAGGGAATAGCAGGGACATAGACATGGTGTTAGAAAGATAAAAAGATGCAGAGGGCCTGGGGGCTTACGGACAGAAGATAGCGGGAGAGAGGGAGAAGGACCGACAGATACAAAGGCCCAGGACTGCAGGACAAACGCTGTGGACTCACTCGGAGGTCAGTCACCAGAGCAAACACCAGGTTGGTGAGGGCTTCAGACACAGCTAGCATGAGAGCAACCTTGCAGTCCAGCAGGCTCTTGACTGGCTGCTCTCCCAGGGCTGTGACGGCCCCTGTGAGCTCCTGGTGGCTCAGTGCCACAACAGCCACATCAGCCAGAGGAGTCTGCAGGGGCCCGACACGCTGCTGTTGGGCCAAAAGGCCACTCACATTCTTAACACCAGAAGGTCTACAGATAAAGAAGGCAGCCCAGGCCTTAGGCCAGACCCCAAGCTCCTCACCGTCAATCCCGGGGGCAGACACATCCACCTCTATCCCACAATTCCCAGCAAAGGCCATCTCTAGCAGGCAGGTGACAAGCCCTCCATCGCTGACATCATGGCCTGAGCAAAGAAGGCGGTCTGGAAGAAGAATAAAAGTTCAGTCATCTCAGGCCAAGCCTCACAGCTCCACAGCATCTGGAGAGCCAATGAGTGGGAAGGCAGGCACTCGCAGGAGAGAAGAGCCTGAACCCTAGGCACCCCACTTGTTCAGGAGGAGAGCGTTTGCCACGGGTCTGCTACCACAGACCAGGCCCACTCACCTTTCAGCAGGCCCTGTGTGATACGGAAGGCACGCACGAGGTTCTCGGGAAGGTCTAGGTCAGGAGGGTGCTCCCCAAGTTGGGAGAAACACTGAGCCAGGGCTGTGCCTCCCAGCCGGTGCTGTCCAGGGCTCAGAGGCACATAGAGCAGGTGACCTAAGGAAACAAGGGGAGATCAGCTCAAGACCTTGCCTCAGTATTCCCAGCACACAGAGACATCACCAACTGCCAGTCCTAGAAAGCCAACACAGCTCAGAGCTGGGATGAGGGGGACCAGGACACACAAAGCAGACCCCAAACCAAGGACCAAGCTTAGAATATATCACACAAGATTAAGGATGAAGAAGCCATACCTTTCCCTCCAGGATGCTTGAGGTCTGGGGTCACAGTGGCTGTGATGTCTGGACAGACAGCGTAGGCTGAAATGACCAGCGACCCTACCCATTGAGGAGGAAGAACAAAGTGAGGTACCAGCCCAGCCCACATGCCTTCTTCCCTCTCCCAAGGGCCTCATCTTTACCAGGAGCCCGGACGGTCTCAGTGCCAACCCGGGCGGCCATGCTGAGGGAATCCTTGCCGCCGTCCACTGCCACACCCAGTGCCGCCATCACTGTCACCATGGCCTCACAGGCATCAGCCAGAGCTGCACCCTCTCCCGGGAGCTTGGCTGCCCACATCCAGTTCCCACTGCACTTCACATCCTGGGAACATTGGGAAAAAGACATGGCATTAGAGAGACAGAGATGCAGAGGGCCTGGGGCTTACGGACAGAAGATAACAGGAGCGAGGGAAAAGGACAGATACAAAGGCTCAGGACTGCAGGACAAACGCTGTGGACTTACTCGGAGGTCAGTCACCAGAGCAAACACCAGGTTGGTGAGGGCTTCAGACACAGCTAGCCTGGCGGCAACCTTGGAATCCAACAAGCTCTTGACTGGCTGTTCTCCCAGGGCTGTGGCGGCCCCTGTGAGCTCCTGGTGGCTCAGTGCCACAACAGCCACATCAGCCAGAGGAGTCTGCAGGGGCCCGACACACTGCTGTTGGGCCACAAGACCACTCACAGAGCGATCCACCTATGGAACCAGATGTAATTAGAAAGAAGGCAAGGGTCAAAGAGGGCTGGCTACGCCCTGAAGTACAAGCAAGAGCATACAGAAGGTGGGTAGCAAGAACAATAGGCTATTGAGGATGTCACACTCCCCAGCCCCTTCATTCCCAAAGCCTAGGACACCCCAGTGCAGGGGAGGGCCAGGATGCAGGACAGGGAACAATGCAGAAGGCCAAGTGCCAGGAGGACCTTGTTGGTGAGGTAGCGCTTGCTGGCCACAGCAGGCAGCCTTAGAACGCGTTCTAGAGCCTGGCGCACACTCAGATCCGGGGGCAGGACCAGAGGCTGCGGCACAGGGGGCTCCCTCTGGAGGAGGAACTCCTGTAACAGAAGAGTGGCCAAATAGAAGCACCTGGGAAGGCTGGGCACAGGTGGCAAACACAGGCGAGGGAAAACCAGTATGCCGGGAAGGCCAGGGGAAAACACATTCCACCCCGGCCCCATACCTTCTGAGGCATCTTTCCCAGAACCCACTCAAGCTCCAGGTTCACAGGGGTTGGAGGTGTTAGTGAGGTATCTCCCTGGCCATCTCTTCCCACGGGACACTCACGATCATCCACTAGCGTGATCTGTGGACCCCGGAGACAGTCCCATAGAAAATGAGGGCTTGAACACCAGCAGGGAATGTGCTTAGGGAGCAGAAAAAAGCATCCCGTCCAGTCTGGCGACCCCGAGTTCCTCATCTCTCCCAACCCAGGCTGCTCGAACCCACCTACAGTGCCTGCTCCTAACCATTGGGATCAATTCTCTCTCTCTCTGTCTCTCTCTGAGACAGGGCTTCTCTCTAGCTTTGGAGCCTATTATCCTACAACTCACACTGTAGACCCGGCTGGCCTAGAACTCACAGAGATTCACCTGTCTCTGCCTCCCAAGGCTGGGATAAAAGGCGTGCACCACCACCGCCTGGCTTCAACTCACTCTCTTGTCTCCAGTGATTGTGCCCACGAAACAAACTGGGCAGCGTTCCCGGGCACTGACACGATTCAGGAAGTCCCGGTCAGAGGGCCTCAGCAAAAGCGCATTTGACTCCTGGTACTCGGCCCCCCAGATTTCCAGTGCATTCAACGTGGGGTCACCCAGCTGCATGGACATGGCAGGGAAGAATAAGACGGGTCAGCGGCACTGCCTCGCCTCACAGTATCGCTAGGAATGGGGCAGAGAGGACAGCCAGGCTTCAGGGATGAGGCCTATGCACCTGGAAGCGGCTGGTATAAATGATGGCTCCTGCTGGGTCACTCAGCTCCTTGAGGACATTGCCTGGTGAGAGAATGGTAACCTGGTTACGGTCAGCCCCAGGAGAGCTGCTGCCATACACTTCCTATCTACCCTCCCATGGCGGCAGCAGGTTCTACCCCTCCACCCTGAGCCTGTCAGCATGAAGAGGGCATGGAGATGGTGCTGCAGAGCTTGGTGGTTGGCAGCAAATCCTCAATGCTTCTTCCCAAACCAAATCTGACAGCAGACCAAGAAGACCCAGCCTCGTGTTCTGACCCATTCCCTCACCATTGCCACCAGCACCCTGGTCATGGAGGCTGCAGATGGGGTTTCCTCCTGGGGCCTCCACACAAGCCCGGATTACACGATTCATCTTCTGCTCCATTTCTGGATCTCCCCGTTGCACAGCACCGAAGTCCAGGTCACTGGTGTTGTCTCCCTGAACCTGAGGAAGCATAGGTCATAGCTCAGCTCAGAAAGGCTTGGAAGCTCCATGAACATACCCTACAGGGGCCCAAGGACATCAAAGTGGCCTCCTTAACCAGGCTCACTTACCTGCACAGATGAAGCAGCTCCACCCCCAACTCCAATCCTGTAGACGGGACCCCCAACCTTTACAACCTCCATGCCTGCAAGGAGGAAGGAAGTTTGAACCAGAGGCCAGGGAGGCTACATAAGAGACCATTACAGCGAGGCAATAAGAGTACAGAAGAATCTGACGCGAGGGGAACATGACCACACAATCCACTAGGTAGAAGGGAGAGCAACCATACAACCCATGGAGGACAATGTGACAATAATAAACTCTGCAAAGACGCAGAGTTAGAGAGATGGCTCAGTGCTTAAGAGCACCAGCTACGCTTGCAGAAGACCTGGATTCAGCTCTCAGTACATACAACTGCTTCTAACTCAGCTCCAGAGGATCTGATACTCTCTTGTGGCCTTGGTGGGCACTGCATCCTGTACTCAGTGCATTTACACACACACACACACACACACACACACACACACACACACACGGCAAAACAGCCAGACACATAAAGTAAAAAACAGTATGGTTTTATTAACAGGCACAAAATCATCTACATGCAAGAGTAAACACCAAAGTATTTGCATTAGCAAATACAGGAAATGATACGAGGCCGTTACACACAGGCTGAAAGGCAATACCGTTAGGATGGCAATATTCCCCACAACTTATCTGTAGATTCCACACAGTGCCTACCAAAGTCAAAGTCTTTTCTGACTTTCTTGCAAATTGATGACTTAATTCTAAAATTCATAAAAAAAATTAATCCTAAACAGGTCAAAACAATCTTTTTATTATTATTGGTTTTTTGTTTTGTTTCGTTTTTTGTTTTTTTGAGACAGGGTTTCTCTGTGTAACAGCCCTAGCTGTCCTATGGAACTAGCTCTCTAGACCAGGCTGTCCTCGAACTCACAGAGATCTGCCTATCTCTGCCTCCTGAGTGCTGGACTTAAAGGTGTGTGCCATGACTGCCTGGTGCAATACATACACTCTTAAATGCAGAGCCATTGCTCCAGCCTATGAAATAACCTTAAATAAGAACAAAATTGAAAGCCTACTTTCCGCATTTACTTATGGTACTGGGGCTAAACCCGGAGCTTTGTGTTTCATTAGCTAAGTACTCCACAACTGAGTCACATTTTCAGCTGTTTCTAGAACTTACCACAATGCTTCAGTCATAAAAACAGTGCAGAACTAGCATTAAGGGTAGACATGAATCAATTAAATAGAACTCACAAGTCTTCGTGTGTGGAGCTGGACGCTCGAACCCATGGCCTTGCACATGCCAGGAAGGTCCTCTACTACTGAGATACACGCCCACCATTGCCAAATGACCTTCCTTCCTTCCCTCCTCCAAATTTTACTTTTTTGAAACAAGGGTGTTGCCTTGTAGCAGACTAACCTCAAACTGAAGATTCTTTCTACTCCCAAGTGCTAGAATTACAGATGCTCATAACCACAATCAGTCGCCAACTGGTTCCCCCACTCTCTGATATCAAGAATTGGATGTAAGCCCTAAGCATGACAGGCAAGAGTCATGCCTTTGAGTGATATCCCTGTCTCTGTTAAGTGACCTCCAATAGAATATGAAGACAACTCAATCCGGAAGAATGATCTAAAGGAAACTGGATGACCACACAGAAAAGAATGAAGCTGGATGCCAATTTCATACAACATACAAAGATAAACTCAAAATCTATCTGTCAAAGCTGGGCGGTGGTGGCGCACGCCTTTAATCCCAGCACTCGGGAGGCAGAGGCGGGCGGATCTTTGTGAGTTCGAGGCCAGCCTGGTCTACGAGAGCTAGTTCCAGGACAGGCACCAAAGCTAGCTACAGAAAAACCCTGTCTCGAAAAACTGAAAAAAAAAAAAAAACCTATCTGTCAAGATGGCTTATCACATAACATTCTTCAGTTAAGAAGAGGATCCAACTTCAGTACTTAGCACCCATATTAGGCAGCTCACAACCACCTATAATCTAGCTTCAAGGGATCCAATGGCCTTCTCTGGCTTCCATGGTATCCACATGCATGATGCACAAATATACACACACATAATTTTTTAAAATTAAGATACTGAATGAAAAAAAAAAAGCCAGGAGTGATAGCACATGCCTTTAATCCCAACACTAGGGAGGCAAAGGTAGGTGGATCTCTGAGTTCTAGGCCAGCCTAGTCTGCATGGGGAATTCTAGGAGTTACAGCCAAGACTAGCTAGTGAGATCCTGCCTCAAAAAATGTAAAGAAAGTGCTCACTTTGGTAGCACATACAGTAAAATTGGAAAAATACAAACAAGATTAGCATGGCCACTGCACAAAGATGACTGTGAATTAGGGGAACATTCCATGTTCTATGTATATGTGTGCATATATGCCTGTAACAACAGTTAATAATTAAAGATGCCATGAATTTGAAAGAAAGCAAAAAGGATGTGTCAGAGTTTGGAGGAAGTAAAGGGGTGGGAGAAATGACATAATTCTATTATAATATCAAAAGATAAAACTCATAAAACTTTTGTTTTGTTTTGTTTTGTTTTTTAAGACAGGGCTTCTCTGTGTAGCCCTGGCTGTCTGGAACTTGATCTGTAGACCAGGCTGGCCTTGAACACAGAGATCTGCCTGCCTCTGCCTCCCAAGTGCTAGGATTAAAGCAATATGCCACCACAGAATAAAAATATTAAGAAAAAAAAGCTTGTCAGAGGTAGCACACATATGCAGGCTCCAAAGCTACAGAAAAAACAACAACAGAAAAAAAAAAGGAAGAAAGAAAGCACTTGGAGGCAGAGGCAGATGAAACTCTGAGTTTGAGTCCTGCCTGGTCTACAGAGTGAGTTCCAGGACAACCAGGGCTACACAGAAAAAAAAAAAAACTGTCTCAAAAAACCAAAAAGATGAAAATGTGTTTTATTTACTTATTTTTTTTTAAAGTAAATAAACACCTGGATATGTCTACACATGCAGGAAACACCAAAGATAGGACTCAAAGTAACTGAGTGAAGTACTCTTCCCTCCCTAACCTCACCTTGGAGGTTTGTGTGTATATCTGACAGGGTCCAGATTGTTGGACCTCAAACCCAAGGGATGACCTTGAACATCTAATCCTCCAACTCCAGAGTGCTAGGACTACAGTCAGGTACCACAACCCCTAGTTGATGTGGTCCTAGGGATATGCAAGGTAGTCATGCTCCTAAAAGCTTTATCTCCAGCCCATCCTTTCAAGGTTCAAGCCACGCCACTAAGTCACCTAGTCAGTCCTGTTGATTGATTAGGTGACTTAGTGGTGTGTTTGTTTTGTTTTTTGATTTATTGAGATAGGGTTTCTGTAGCTTTGGAGCCTGTCCTGGAACTCGCCCTGTAGACCAGGCTGGGCCTCGAACTCACAGAGATCCGCCTGCCTCTGCCTCCTGATTGCTGGGATTAAAGGTTTGCACCACCACCACCTGGCCACTTTCTTTTCTCTTAATTAGTGTGTGTGTGTGTGTGCATCTTTGTCACACACATAAGCATGCACACACCAGAGTACTACATCTATGTGGAGGTCAGGGGACAGCTTCCAGTTGCCAGCTTCCTCCCTTCCCGAGTTTCAGAGATCAGGCTTGCTCGGCGAATGTCTTTACCCACTGAGCATCCACCTGGTCTGGGACTTGGACTTTAGCCACAGCCTCAAACACAGTGCCCAGCACACAATTGGTGGGCACTCAATAAATGTTTGCTCTAGTGAACTGGGCCAGCAGATAAAAGTACTGAGCATAAAGCGGTACTAAATATAAACACTGGCTCCAAAACCTTAACACAGGGGTGGGGTGAGGCCCCTGCAACTCACAAGTACACTTGGAAGAGATAAAGACCACAGAGACTGAGAGTGCCCACCTAATAGAAACTGTCCTGTCTTGACAACCTGTTGTTAGAAGAGACAGGAGCCAGGAGAACAGAAACCAACCCCTGTACGCCTTCATAGCGCCCTCCTGGTGGCTGCCCTATGCTGAGAGGAAGCCGGTTAGATGCAGAGAAAGGTGGTGGCTCTTACCTGGCTCTGGGGGTTCTTTGCCCACATGTTTGGCTTCCATAGACCCAATGCCCCCGCTAAACATGATGGGCTTGATCCACTCACGCCGCTGACCACCTGGCAGCTGGAGTCCCAAAGAGCGGGCAAATCCTAGCACGGAAGTGAAGAGGTTAGCCCCGTGTCTGCAGCACCACAACCTGGGTCACACTACACCACAGCCCCTCTGGAGTGTGAAGTGAAGAGGTTAGCCCACAGTGTCTCAGTGTCTGCAACCCCACAGCCCCCGGGTCACACTACGCCCACAAGCCCCTCTGGGGTGTGTTGCTCTTTCTTATACACCCCGAGGCTCACCAGCCAGCACGGGTTCTCCAAACTTGTTGCCATAGTCAGACGCTCCATTACTGGCCTCAATAGCAACTTCTAAAGGCCTGGCAAAGTTCCCAGGATACTGGAAGCTTGGATCCTCCCAGGGCAGATTATAACCTGAGATGGAAAAGATAAGGTTCAACAGACCATAAAAAGGAAGGACACGAGCTCAAGAGGCAGCTCAGGAAGTCAACAAATGCCTACCATGCACAAGGCCCTGGGCCTGAAAGGAAAAGAAAGCGGAAGATAGAGGACACATCTCCGGAGAGAGAATTCTCTAAGCTACTGAAGCCGCTGAAGCCACCCATGTGGTTAGAAGGTGAAGGTGTCAAGCAGACAGCTCAACACTGGTTTGCTTCCCATCTCCAACACTAGCCTTTTCTTGACTCATAATACTTGGTTATTTTCTCGGTTTTTTGAGTCTCACTTTGCACCGTTGTTGGTCTGGAACTCACAGAGATACCCTTGCCCCTGCCTCTTGCGTACTGGGATTAAAGCCTTGTGCAACCATGTAGAGCATACTCATGGTACCTTGGGGGAGGGAGGGGAAAATTGAGGTAAAGTTTCTTTATGTAGCCTTAAAGGCGTGCATGCACCAATACCACAATTTTAATCCTTCTTTATCCTTTAGCAATGCCAGTGATCCCTCAGAGCCTTGCACAAGCTAAGGAAGAACTCTACCCCTCGGTCGTTCCCCAACCCTAGGATCAGATCATGTAAGCTCCTCCCACCCCCACTAAGGCTTTGTGTATCTGTGTGGGTGTACATGTTAGTACAGGTGACTATGGATGCCAACAAGTGACTTTGAATCAGCAGATGTAGGTACTGGGATTTAACTGAGGTCCCCTCCAAGAAAGGTACAAATGGCTGGGCAACATATTCCCTTAATTCCAGCACTTGAGGCAGAAGCAGGTTGATCTTGGTAAGTTCCAGGCTACATAGTATATCAAAAATAAAAATTAAGAGTAGTCTCTCCAGGGGCTGGTGAGATGGCTCAGTGGTTAAGAGCACTGACTGCCCCTCCAGAGGACCTGGGTTCAATTCCTAGCATCCACATGGCAGCTCACAGCTGTCTGTAAATCCTAGCATCCACATGGCAGCTCACAGCTGTCTGTAAATCCAGTTCAAGAGAATCTGACATCATTATACCAATATGCATGAAATAAAGTTAAATAAAGTTAAAAAAAAAAAAAAAAGAGTAGTCTCTCCAGCCCCCTTTTAAAAACTGTATGTTTGTGTCGGGTGGTGGTGGCTCACGCCTTTAGTCCCAGGACTCAGGAAGCAGAGACAGGTAGATCTCTGTGAGTTCAAGGCCAGCCTGGTCTACAAAGAGCTACTTCCAGGATAGGCTCCAAAGCTACAGAGAAACCCTGTCTTGAAACAAAATAGAACAAAACAAAACATATGTTTGTATATGTTTATGTGCACATTTGAGTGCAGGTACCCAGAGTAGAGAAGAGGGCATCAAATCACCCTGGAGCTGGAGTTACAGACATTTGCTGGCCACCACCATGGGTGCTGGGAACCAAGCTTGGGTGCCTTGTAAAAGCAGTAGGTACTTTTGACTGCCAAGCTATCCCTACAGCCCCTTCTTTTTTGTTTCTTGCTTTTTTTTCTCTTTATCTCTCTCTTTTTCTTCTTCTTCTTTTTTTTTTTTTTTTTGGATTTTTAAGACAAGATCTCTCTGTATAACAGCCCTAGCTATCCTGGAACTAGCTCTATAAGCCAGACTGGACTTGAACTCACGGAGATCTGCCTGCACCTGCCTCCTGAGCTGGGATTAAAGACGTGCACCACACCACCACCCAGCTGCATTGCTTACTTTCCAAAACAGGGATTTTTTTTTTGGTAGCCCTGAGTATCCTAGAACTTACTCAGTAGACCAGGCTGGCTTCAAATCAGAGATTCACCTCTGCACCGCTTCTTTTTTAAATAAGATTTTCTTTTTTTTCCTTTCTTTTTTTTTTTTTTTGTTTTTTTGGAAATGATTTTTCAGTAACTATGGAGCCAGTCCTGGAACTCGCTCTGTAGACCAGGCTGGTCTCGAACTCACAGAGATTCGCCTGCCTCTGCCTCCCGAGTGCTGGGATTAAATGTGTGCGCCACCACCGCCTGGCTTAAACAAGATTTTTATCATTTTATAAAACGATGTGTATACGTGTGAGTACCCACAGAGGCCAGAGGTATTACATCCCCACTTCGAGCTAGAGTTACGCAGGCAGTTATAAACCAATCAACCAACACGGGTGCTGGGAACCAAACCCAAGTCCCTGCAACAATAGCACACTTAATTACTGAGCCATCTCTCCAGCCCCTGTTGCGTAAGTTTCTTCGGATATTGAAACATTCCGTCCTGTAGCGTAGCTCTTTAAGTAAGAAGGTGAAAAAAACTGAAAATATCTCCAGAAGTCCCTGAAACTGACCATCCACCAGACTCTCCTTGCCACGGTAAGCAGTAAAAGCTAAGCGCGAGCCAAGCTCAGACTGAGCAGAGCTGCAAAGACGCTGAAGCCAGACCAGCTGCCCAGGAGAATCAGAAACCAGAAGAGCCGCCTGGAAAGGACACCTCCAACCTGTCGAGCTGCCTGTCGGCCGTGCAGAGTGCTCCAGGATCCCAGCTTTCACATTTGGCACCCATGCTGGGGTGGGCCTTGGCAATGCAGCTGTCTCTGAGTCATTTCTACTCCTGTAAGTAACCCCTGACCCATACTCTTACAAGTAGCTCCAATAAAACTCATTGGTTCACCAAGCTGGACGACGGTGGAATCAGTACTTTGGCCTGTTGTGGAGTGAGCAGACATATATATTGTGTCTTCCCAGGACAAGTTGTCACACAACAGCCCCTCAAGTCTCTTAAGGTTCTCTGGATTTCACGGACCAGTACTGGTCATAAGATAACCTGGTCTCATGTTTTCTAACTACGTGAATGCTGGCTTCGAAAGAAAACTGTAGGTCTCTCCAAAATCAGTCTGGCAATCTCCAGATTCCCCAATTTATGTTACTTGTGTTCAGGGTCAGCAAAAATCGACTACTGAGAAGCTCTCCCTTGCACCCAGATGACCTTCAGACCTAAGAGATCTACGTGCTGGGGCCTGCCGGGACAAAGGGAAGGTGGTGAGAGAAGAAAAACAAGAAGAAACCTGGGATGTGCAGGTTTCCAAAGCAATAGCCAGCAGTGCCGGCTACCACGTGGGCCCCGCGACCTGTGCACTGGACATCTCGGATGCGGCCACCTGTGCCTGTAGTTGCACCGCTGAAGGGGGCCACTCCTGCAAAGAGAAAGCAAAGGAGATACGGGTGACACAGAGATAAAACCCATCCCTAGCTGGGTGGTGGCGGCACACACCTTTAATCCCAGCACTCTGGAAAAAGAAGCAGGTGGATCTCTGTGTGTTTGAGCTAGTCTGGTCTACAGAGTTCCAGGATAGCCAAGGTTACGCAGGGAAACCCAGTCTTGAAAAATCAAACAAACAAACAAACAACAAAAAAAAACCCACCCCTAAACCATGTGTGGAGGAATACATCTTTAATCCCAGTACCCTGGAGGCAGAGGCAGACAGGTTTTGACTTTGAGGGGCCAGTCTGGTCTATAAAGCAAGTTATACACACACACACACCCATACTCCATGGACCTAAGAACAACAACTGAGGCTCAGACTCAGGGCCTGGGTCCTTTGTGCCCTCCTACTCTCTAAATTTACCCATCTACACCAGGACGCAACTCACCTGTGGGGAAGTTATGTGTCTCCGCTGTGAAGACAACATGTCTAAGCCCCTGCTGTTGCCGGAAGCAGCTTGGTTGTGTAGGGTCCTCAGGCTTTAAGAATTGGACTTCCTTCCCCTGGATTGCACTATGGACACAGCCATTCTATACCTTGTGTTTTTTCCCCAAGAGCCACACCAAACCAGCCAGTGTCGAAGGCTTCCCTTCTCTCCAACCCAAGACCCCTTCAGCCCAGGGCATAGCCGACCTGCTGTTGTCACAGAACTTGAGGACATTGTTAGGGTTTGAGCATGCCTGGGTGCTCATGATGGACTCAAACAGAGAATGTGCTAGCTTCTTCCCATCCACATGGAGCTGGCCTTTGAAGAACCAGTGTCGGCTGTGCTCACTGCAAGAGTGACAGGAGGGGAAGATACAAAAGCAAGGATCACTTCTCAGTGCTGTGTCTTCTCAACGGCCGTCACAGCCAACTCACACTTAGGAAATGCCAAAGTTCATCCCAGAAAAATCACTATGTACTCTGCCACTATAGCTTGTTGAGAACCAAAGTCAGATTAAAAACCAAGATTTAAAAGTAGACACGTAGAAGGGTAAGGAGGCCAGACCCTCAAGAGATGCAGGCAGAGCACAGAAGATGTGTTCTTGTGGTATTCCTTTCTAACCTCCAAGGGCTAAGACAGCAGACAGTGGCATCCCTCCTCACCTGTTGGACTGAGCCAAGTCAAAGGCCTCCACGGTACTGGGGTTCCGCTGCAGTTCTTGGAAGCGCTTAGTGTAGAAATCCAGGTCCCAGGAGTCCAGGGCCAGCCCTAGGAGACAAACCCTAGAAGAGCTCACAGCATGCCTCAAGCCACCATATTCCATGTCTCAGTAGTCTGCTGAACTACGTTGGGTCCTTCCCTTTATCTCCCAAGAACACCCGCTCACCTAGATCGTGGTTGGCCTTCTCCAGGGCAAGCCGACCCTCAGCTAATATGTCGATGGAGCCGCTGAGTGGGGCTGGGATGCTCTGAGGAGAGAAGCTCTGGATAGGGTCAGGGTAGTGCTGCTCCGTCATCCGGTCATGCAAGGCAGCCAGAGAAATGGCTTGCATCTCGGCCGTAGGGTGGTGGGCAAACTAGTGGGCAGATACAGAGAGGACAACGGACAGAGCTGAAGAACTGAACCGAGAGAGAAAGGACTCTGAACCTTCAAGCTATTGGCCCCACTACTACCAGACAGCACTGCTTCCCCATTCCAGTGGAGATTTCAAGGCCACGGTTTGTATGCACTAGGTAAAAGTCCTAACCCTGAGCTATGTATGCTCAGGCTCACAGAGCATCTTTATTCAGACTAAAAGAAAAAAGAACAAAACAAAAAACTCCTCTCTGGGCATGAACCTGTGCCAGGATGCTTAGATCAGGCTGGGAAGGCAAGCTGGCCCATTTACTGTTCAACCAGGTACCTTCAAGCAGCAAACAACCTCCCAGGCATACAGGGGAGGCCTAAGTCCAAGGGCTCTACCCTGCTTCTCCCCTGACTTTGCTAGAGTTTAGGATCGAATCTCTGGCCCACTCACTCCTCGATTTTCCAGCACAATGCCCACACCTCACCGAAAGCCGGTAGCGCCGGGTGGTCTCTACCCGATCCACAGCTCTCAGCCCAGAGGCCTGGCACACAGAAACAATGTTGCTGGATGCCGGAGTAGAGAAGTTCAGCCTGAGGGAAGAGTCAGGTGGTTATGGCCTGAGGGAAGAGTCAGGTGGTTATGGCCCAAGGGTCCCAACAAGCATTTGGAAGGTTCTTGCCCACAGGTGTCTACTTAACCACTATTACCTCTTTGCCACTGGCCTCCTGCCTCAGACTAGGTGCCAAGAAAACCTGCTTTCAAAAGTTTATCAGTCTGGTCTACAGAGTTAGTCCTGGGACAGCTAGGGCTGTCACACAGAGAAACCCTGTCTCGAAAAACAAAGCAACAACAACAACAAAACAAAAAACAAAACACACAAAAAAAAAACAAAACAAAACGAAATAAAAAAACGAAAGAAGAAGGAAAAAAAAGGTTAATCAGAGGCTGGAGAGATGATCAGTGTTAAGAGACAACAACAAGAGTTTGGTTCCTTGCACCCATGTCTGTAACTCCAGCTCTAGGGGGATCCGATAGCTCTAGCCTCCATGGGCACCTCCACTCAGGTGCACATACGCACACACAAGGCCAGCATGGGAAACTTAGCAAAAGCATCTTTCAAAAGAAAAAGTAAAAGAACCAAAACAGTTGAATGGTACAGGGCTTACTCAGCATGCATTAAGTCCTATGGTCAATCCCTAACAAATGGGAATGGAGAGAAACCACGGTTCAACTTCCTAGAGCATTAGCTGTCAATTCTACAATAGATTCGGGAGCTAGTTCAATCTTCAAGACGTTTGTGCACAAGGGGAAAATATTTGCATGGTTTCCTAGGCAGAGAGAAGGATGGGGCAAAGGGAAATCTCCAAAGACTACAGGGGAAAGGAGAGCAATGGAGAGGAGGGGTGGACAGCGAGGGTGAAAGGGAGGTGTGCCCTGGAATGTGGGACCAATTGCCCGGGAAGAAACCCAACCGTACCTGGGTCCCACCTCCAGCAACAAGTCATTAGAGCCAGGAACAAGCCAGGATTCCTGAGCAACGTCATCCAGCAACAATGGGCAGCCAAACAGCCACTTCAACTTCTTCATCTCCTCTGCCCCTGGAAGGGTCTCAGCTGCAGAGACAGGACAAGAGCATCTCAAGACACGGCCTCACACACCAGACTATCTCCTTTAAGAAACTATCACCTAGAGCTGAGCATGGTGGCCCAAACCTTTAGTCCAGCACTTGGGAGACAGAGACAGGCAGATCTCTGTGAGTTCTAGGTCAACCTGGTCTACAGTTTAAAGTTTAAGCTGCAGGACATTCAGGACTACACACAGAGAGATCTGACCCAAATTAATTAATTAAAAACAAACCAAACAAAACAATGCAGAACTCAACACCCAGAGGCTGAGACGGACTCAGCAGCTAAAAGGACAGACTGCTCTTCCAGAGGGCCTGAATGGATCATCCACACCCACAACATGGCTTACAACCACCTCTAACTCCAGTTCCAAGGGAATCCATGCCCTCTTCCGGCCTCTGCAGCAGCAGGCACACGTGGTGCACAGATATGCATGCAGAAAAATCACAAATACAGGCAACATGCCTGCAGCCACGTCTGACAGCGATGGAAGAGTCCTCTCACTTCTACATGTTCAAGTACACATACACACACACACACACACACACAAATTAAACAGGAGACTGAAGAAATGACCCAGGGGTTAGCATCACAGTCTGCTCTATCAGAAGATCCAGGACTAATTCAGGTCTAATTGCCAGCACTCATGTCAGTGATGAGCCGTGCCGACAAGGCCAACCCTCCAAAGGTTACCAGGAGAATAAGTCATCCTTAGCCACAGAGAGAGTTTAAGACCAGTCTGGGCTATACGATGCTCTGACTCAAACAACCCACCAAACAACAAAACAAAATTTAAAGACAACTCTGGGCCTCACCTGCCCAGTGCACATTATAGCACAGCTCAGTCTCCACACTCTGAAGCTTTGGCAGTTTCTCTTGCAGTTTCCGAAGAGCGCGTCCAGAGGCTGCCCCCTCGTGGCCAGAGGGACGGACGTAAAAGTGAAGGACCGGGGCCATCTCCGCAGATGGCTTTCTGGCAATGAATTAGGTCTCTTAAAAATAAATAAATAACAGTAGTTGACTTCAAGTTTCATGGACAGCCAGACACTGGAAATAAAGAAGGGGACATTACAGGGGAATTCAGGAAACTAAGTAACCAGAAAAGGGAAGGTCTGGGGATTTTTAACTAATCCTGCAAAACGTAGGCTTTCCAGGCTGGGAAGGGATGGCTTGGCAGTACAGCATGTTCTTAGCCCCGGGCTCAATCTCCAGCACATGCACATGCCAACATACACATAACAGGGCATTAGGAGTGCAAGGGAGAAGCATATGGACACATCCTTGAGCCCTAGCAAGGTCTTAAGAACATTACACAAAAAAATCCATCAGAGAATTTGAGCTCTGTGTGGCTAACTGAGGGGACTAGGAACACCCATCTGAGACTTCAGTGGTTAAGAAGGACTTCCTAGGATAAATGTTATCTGCCAGGAACTGAGTGCTTTTATCCCTTGCCTACATTCATATGTTGAAACCCTAATTCCCAATATGACAATGTTTGAGCAGGTTTGAGAGTAGTAGGATGGTGAGGGATACCCTAATGAATGGCATCAGTGTCCTTCTAAGAAGCTGGAAAGTTAGATCTCTACCATGCACAGATACAAGGTCAGTAGTGTGAAACCTAGAACGTGTTTCTATAGGAAAATGACCATGCTGGCACTCTGATCTCAGACACCCAACCTCTGGAGCTCTGAGCTCTGCTGTAGCAGTCACACAGTCTACGGTACTTGAGTTCTGCTGTAGAGAGTCTCACAGTCTACGGTACTTAAGTTCTGCTGTATAGAGGCTCACAGTCTATGATACTTGAGTTCTGCTGTAGAGAATCACACAGTCTACGGTACTGAAGTTCTGCTGTAGTGAGTCTCACAGTCTACGGTACTTAAGTCCTGCTGTATAGAGTCACACAGTCTACGGTACTCAAGTCCTGCTGTAGAGAGTCTCACAGTCTACGGTACTTAAGTTTTGCTGTAGCGTCTCACAGTCTACAGTACTTAAGTTCTGCTGTAGTGAGTCTCACAGTCTACGGTACTTAAGTCCTGCCGTAGAGAATCACACAGTCTACGGTACTAAAGTCCTGCTGTATAGAGGCTCACAGTCTACGGTACTTGAGTTCTGCTGTAGAGTCTCACAGTCTACGGTACTAAAGTCCTGCTGTAGAGAGTCTCACAGTCTACAGTACTGAAGTTCTGCTGTAGTGAGTCTCACAGTCTACGGTACTTAAGTTCTGCTGTAGAGTCTCACAGTCTATGGTACTTAGTCACAGTAGTATTTAAGGCCTGAATCTGGAGGATGAGGATGGACGAGGCCTGGCTTGTAGTCATGTATCAGTTTCCCTGCTTCACTGCTTTCAAAATATATTCTTGCTCCAGGTAAACCCAAATTCTGACAAAGTCCTTTCCAACTTCTCTATTCTTCAAGAAGCGCACACTATACTAACTCTGGGATGTTCTCATTGCCCAGTGCTCAGGGCACCTTCCTTCTAGAAAGCTCCCTTGGGGCTCAAAGCTTCTAATCTGTACCACTCATTCACACACAGGGCTCACGTATGTCCTCTTTCAGGGGAAGCACAAAGTAAAGAAATTGACTACTTCCAATCTCCATTTGGGTGACTCAACTCATTCAAAACTGAGTTTCTGGGCATGGTGGAATACATCTTTAATCCCAGCACTCAAGAGGCAGAGGCAGAGAGAATTCTGAGTTTAGGGCCGACTTGATCATATACTGAGCTCCAGGCGAGCCAGGGCTACATAGTAAGACTGTCTTAAACCGGGCAATGGTGGAGCACGCCTTTAATCCCAGCATTTGGGAGGCAGAGGCAGGCAGATCTCTGTGAGATCAAGGTCAGCCTGGTCTACCAGAGTGAGTTCCAGGACAGGCTCTAAAGCTACTCAGAGAAACCCTGCCTCAAAAAATAAATGAATAAATAAAATACCATCACCTCTATTTATGTGTCATAAATACAGCCAACTGAGGCTGAAGATTTAACACAATAAAATGTTTATCTAGCATGCATGAAGTCCTGGGCGTTTTGATTCCCAGGACCTTATAAACTGGGCAAAGTGACAGATAGCTGCAATCCCAGCACAGGGGATGTGGAAGCAGGAGGATCCTGAACTCAAGGTTATCCCGCTACACAGTGAGACTGAAGCCAGCCTAGGCTATAACGGACTTATCTTCCTTCTTCCCCGTTTTCTTTTTCCCAAGATGAATAGTTTATGGGGCTCATGGGAAGGGAGATGGAAGCTAGGCAGTAACTGCCACACCCCGGGGACTCCCAGTCAGAAGATTTGCTGTTCCGCTAGCCTCCCCATCATAGGAAACCCGACCACCACCTAAACAGCTGCTCAACTGGATGCACAGACACAGGATTCAGTGATAAAGCACTTGGCCAGCACTTGGCCAGTTCAATCCTCAGAACTACAAAAAGCAAAAATTAAGCCAGCCTTAATTACTCTTTTCCCTCAGTCTCTCAATCTGTCAACAAATCTACTTACAAACATATCTTAAATCTCTGGTCTTTTCATGTCTGCTACCTCCCCAGTCTAAGTCACCATCATCACACACGTCTGGACTGATCAAAGTATTGGTCTCTTTGTTGCTGTTGTGTGTTTTATGAGACAAACTCAGGTTATTATATAGAGCCCAAGGCTGGCCTGGAACTCACAATCACATTGCCACTGCCTTCAAATGCTGGGATTACAGGCTTATATCACTTTAGCCAGTTGCACTGGATTCTTGAGCCCTCTGATTCCACTGCTACACAACCACATCCTACCTGCCACAAACTAGCATAAAGATCACGATGGCTTAATGGCTAAACACTTGACACTGCCGGGAAGGTGACTCTGAGTTCCAGGGTTTATATTATATAGTTCCAAGTCAGACAGGGCTGTATAAAGAGACCCTTGTCATGCCAGGCAGTGGTGGCACACACATTTAATCCCAGCATTTGAGAGGCAGAGGCAGGTGGACCTCTGAATTCGAAACCAGTCTGGTTACAAAGCGAGTTCCAGGGCAGTCAGGATTGTTAGAGAGAAACCCTGTCAAAGAAAAGAAAAGAAGAGGAGAGAAGAGAAGAGAAGAGAAGAAAGGAAAAGAAAGGAAAGAGAGAGAGCAAGAGATCCTGTCTCAAAAAAGCAAAACTAACCAAACAAGTTGTAGAATGAATGAATCTTTTATCCCTCACATCTCAGTTATCCCCTACCACTCAGTCTTTCTGGAATTCTTTTTTTAAGCAAACAATGACAACGACCAAACGGGGTCTCATTTGGCCCAGTCTGACCTCTAACTCATAGGGAGGATGACCTTAAATTTCTAATCCCTTCTATTCCCAAAAACCTCTCGGAGGCTACAATTTCAGGTATTCTCCACAACACCCGGTTTATGAGGCTGTGGGCATCGAACCCGGAGTCCCGTGCTAGAAAAACATTCTACGAGCTGCATCTTCAGCCCTCTGGAGTTACTTTTCAAAGATTTTCGTCTATCAATCCCAGCGAAATATACGCTCCTGGAATAACGGGACAGGGTTTTATTTCGGGGCTATATTTCTAACGGCTCGTATCTATCCTGACCGACACATTTGATGACTGGGACCGTGAGGGAAGGCTCCTTCCAACCTATCATGCACCTCCACCGCGTGTCTGCAGAACACGCTCTCCAGCGGATGCACGGTCTACTTAAGGTCCGCGGGCCAAAGAGGACCCAGCCCGGCTTCATCCGGACACCGACAAAGCCTGGATCCGGCTTGAGCGTGTGGCCGATGGAGCTGTGGATAGAGCAAATTTGGGGAAGGCACGCGCCAATGCTACTCACGTAATTCGGTCCACGCAGAATTCCAAAAATCTTGGCGCGCTGTACGTCATCTACGAGCGCCACCGCTTCGTCACCTACAAGCGTCACCTCCGGAGACCTGACTCGCGGGAAGGAACGACCGCGCCCCTGACGTGGGCGGTGCCGCCACGCCTTCCTTCTAGTTGGGTCGTTCTCAGATTTCTTTCTTTTTTTTTTTTTTTTATTTTATGTATAGGGTGCTCTATCTGCATGTGCACCTTTATGCCAGAAGAGGGCATCAGATCCCACTATAGATGGTTGTGGGAATTGAACTCAGGATCTCTGGAAGAGCAGCCAGTGCTCCTAACCACTGAACCAACCATCTCTCCAGCCCCCGAATACTTTAATAATCTCAAATTCTTTTAATCCAGCACTGGGGAGGCAGAGACAGAAGGGTCTCTTTGAGTTCGAGACTATCTCAACCAAAGCTGCGAGAAAAAATCGAACTTGAAATAACACTTATGAAAGCATATTCGTTCAATTCCTCGTCTTCGACTCTCTTGTCCCCTTCAATTATGACAAAAACTTAGAATTTAGGAATCTGAGCGAGAAACTTTTTAAATGTCTAAGATTCTGTTTTCCTTCTCCCTTCTCTTCGTTTTCAATATTTTTGTTGTTGTTGTTGTTAATGAATAAATTCAGAAAAATACAGCGAGAGGATTTTTTTTTTCCTCTTACATTTTCGCAGTACTGGGAATTGGTTCTCAACCTTCCTAAGACTATGACCCTTTAATACAGCCCCTCATGTTGTGGTGACCCCCCAATCATAAAATTATTTCATTTCATTGCTACTTCATAGCTGCAATTTTGCTACTGTTATGAATCGTAATGTAAATATCTGTGTTTTCTGACGATCTTCGGAGACCCCTACAAAAGAGTCGGTGGACCCAAAAGGGGTCGCGACCCACAGGTTGAGAAACACGGCCCTAGCGCTTTGCACATTCTGTATCCTGAATTCTATTTTCAGTTGTATGTGTTTTCCTATTAATGATAAAATAGCTGACAAAAGCCAGTTACAGAAGAAAGAGTTTATTTTGGTCTAACTCTGAAAGTGCAGTTTATCATGGTCGAAGAGATCAAGTGTGAGAGCTGCTTTGACAGCAACAGCACAAAGCATCTGGTCACCTAGCAACCACAACTAAGAAGAAGAGACAAATGGATGCTAGTCCCGTATCCCCCCTCATCCCGTCCTGCCCTGTCCTCCCTCCCCACCCAGTCCCCCCTTCAATTTCTACTTAGTCTAAGATCCTGGCTCATGAAACTGTCGCCTGTATTCATGCTGGGTCTTCCCATCTCTACACATGTCTGTAAATGTGCTAGAAGACCAGGAGTTTGTCTCCAAACTGATTCTAAATCCTCTCAAGTTGATAATCAAGATTAACCATTACACCAATCCCCCCCCTCTCTCTATCTATCTATCTATATATATATAATGTATACAATATTCTGTTTGTGTGTATGTCTGCAGGCCAGAAGAGGGTACCAGACCTCATTACAGATGGCTGTGAGCCATCATGTGGTTGTTGGGAATTGAACTCAGGACCTTTGGAAGAGCAGGCAATGCTCTTAACCTCTGAGCCATCTCTCCAGCCCCTACACCAATCCTCTTTACAAAAAAAAGAAAAAAAAAAAAAGTGGGAGATGGGGGTGAATCCAGGGTCGACTTCCAGCATACACACAGTGGCTCACAACTGTCTGCAACTCCAGTTCCTAGGGGGGGTCCACATCCTCTTCTGGCTTCCCTGGGTGCCAGACATACCTGAGGGCATGGTGCACAGATGTACATGCAGGCAAAGCACTCAAATACTTAAATACACAAAATAATAAAATAAATAAATCTTTTATTTAAATAATGCCTGTCTGGGTTACATGAGACCCTGTCTTTAAAAAAATGAAGAAAAAAAAAAGTTTGTTTGGAAAATCTATTGAGGAGCTCAGTAGGTGGGGCTCTTTGATGCTTAATATTTCTAGCATTTATGGTAAATTTGCTACTATATAGCTATTTCTTCCTGAATTCAAAGTCTAAACTGGAGGAAGGTTCATGAAACTAGCAGGAAGCTCATTAGATTCACAAGGCTTCTCGATGAGGTTATGTAAGTGGTAAACAGTTGCTGGGGGAGCGGAGACTGTGCACAGGGGACTTCAGGAATGCAAAACTGCTTCTGCAATTGCTCTAATTAGCTCATTGGCTCACTAGCTGGAGCTGGCTGAATGTTTCTTTGGTCCGTCGTTGCCTTCTCTATCTGTGAAGACGAGAATAAGTAGACTTAGATACTTCAGGGAAAGTCATGTAACATTCAGTAGCCCAACAGGAATCAAGGATGAGTCTGCCAAAAGCTTTGCCTCCCATGTGAAACAGCTTCTTAGTGGGAGCTTCCTAGATGACACCAGTTAGAGAGTCCCTAAGGGGTTGTTACTCTTCTTCCTCACTCTCAGCGTGCATCACAATTAACTGCAGCAGCCCTTCCTAAGCAAACTCACATGCCCTGTGGGTCTCTCCACCTTCTCCCTGTCATCCCTTTCTCTTTTGGCATTTGTGCCCGCTACTCCCGTCCTGACCAGAATTTCTGATCCAAGAGGCTTTCAAGTGACTAGACTTTCACTTCTCCAGGAAGTGAGTCATCCCCCTCATCCTCCCACACCCCACCCTCATATCCAATCCATGACCTAGTTTCAATTTGGGAGGAAGTCTTCCTTTGAGGTCAGTATTCCGACCAACTGGACACTCTGGCCTGTGGGTGGCTCCAGAGTAAAACCCATGTTGACAAGACACAGGGGCTAGCCCAGCTTTGAGGGTTGACTTAAGCAAAGAAACAAGCTGTCTGTCCACTCCAGGGTTGATGTACCTTAGTAGCCCCCAAAATAGTCTTGGGCATTCAGTTCCTTCAGGTTCACCACTGGGAAAATTCTCAAAGGTTGGTCTAGCTGGGTGCATAATGGCTCCTAGCCAGCCTGGGTTACAGGAGGCCTTGTCTCGAAAGAAAGAAAAAGAAAAAGAGGGGAGAGGCAGTGCCCTAGGTTTGATCCTCAGATCCTCAAACACAAATAATTTATTTTGCTTCATAAGAACAATTAGGCCTCACTGGAGAGATAGATAAAAGGCTCAGCCTTTTAGAGGGCGCGATGCCTCAGTCATTGAGAATTCTTATGGTTACAAGAGAGAGAGAGAAAAAAAGGAAAAAAAAGAATTCTTATTGCTCTTGTACAGGACCCAAGTTTGCTTCCCAGGACACTGATGACAGCTCACAACCATCTGTCATTACAGTTCCTAGTGACCTGATGCCCTCTTCTTGCCTCTGCAGGGTCCATGGATCACATACAAGCACAAAAACATCCAGGTACATAAAAAAAAAAATACCCGCCCCCCAAAAAAATCCCAACCTCCAAATTGGCCCTTGTACACATTCCTGCACCAGAAATGTTGTCCCTGTCTGGTCCTCTGATGTGTACCGTCACGCTACAGTTTAACCTGTTCTGTCACAGCCCATCCAAGTGAAAATAAGACGTGTAAGGAAGACAAATGCTCTGGGTTCAGGCCTTGGTGGATTTCTAAGGTCTAAGTTTAGGCCCTGACAATTCTTCTTCTTCTTCTTCTTCTTCTTCTTCTTCTTCTTCTTCTTCTT